GCATGAAGCTCTCAGCAAGGCCGCCCGGGACCTCGTTCCCTCCCAGGAGCAGCCGCCACCGCACAGACCCCCACATGGCCACCAGGGGCCAGGCCACTGATGGAGCGATGCCCCTACACCCTTTCCAAAGCCCTCCAATGAGGAGCTCCAGGTGGGGAGGAGCCACAGCAGTGGGGGCCCTGCTGCACCCCGACTCTGTCCTGACCGTCACCCCCTCTCTGGGCTTCCTCTCCAGAGCCAGGGTGAGGACTCAGGCAAAAACCCGTGAGGGAGGGTGCCTCCTAATGGGAGCGGGGGGCTGGCGGCCTGGGTGAGGCCTCAGGGGCTGAGACAGATCCAGGGCTCCTTCCGAGCTGTAGGGACCCAGCTTTAGGGACCTGGTGGCAGACAGGTGGGTCCAGCCTCTGTGCCGCCCCATCCTGGAGAAGCAGTAAGGGATGGCCCGGCTGCCTACAGGGCTGGGGAGCGACACAGGGTGACCCCGTAAATGACCGGTCACGGTGGCCTGGGCTCGGAGCTTTCTGAGCAGAAGAAACCAGTTCTGTCCCACTGCTGTCCCCTCCGACACAGGGGATGGCTAACACCTGGGACAGGTGTATGAGTCAGGGCTCAGCCCAGCCGCAGGCCCTGAGGCTGACAGGGCACAGGGGCTGGGCCTGCAGGGGGACGGGACCAGCAGGACCTGGGGGATGGCCGTCTCTCCACTCCAGGCCTCCAACCTGGACCACACAGGTGTGCTGTGCACCCGCAGTGCCTGGCCCAGGGGCAGAGAAGCTGAAGGAAGGAGCCCAAGCAGCTGCCAGCACCCCCAGGGGGAGCCAGTGGGTCTGTGACAAGGACAGCCTCCCCGTTAGCGGTAGGAACCCCTCATGGAGCTCACCCTGTCCTGTGTTCTCAGCCCTTGGCCGAAAGGGACTTCTAAATCCTAAACATTTTCATGGAAATCTGTCTTATGCTAAACTCGTGAAAGTGAACACAGCTAAGAGGCTGACCCCCCACCCCTCCCCGAGATATTTTCATTATTTGATAAGGATTTAAATGGATTTTAACTACCTCCCCAGATAGTTCTTCTTAAATGTTTTAATTTTAAGACCTTCCTGGCTTAATACATTATATGGTGCATAATCAGGCTGTATATTCACTCCCCTATCTCAGCCTGAGTCATAAGAAGATGGGATAATAATACCTCCATCGGGTGATTAAGCACAGCAATTGGGGCAAGGCCGGCCTCCTCCCAGCTCCAGCTGCCTGGGGGCCTCTCCCTCCCCTACCTGCCATCTCCTGACCTCCCCACCCCCCCCCCCTTCGGCCCCACAGGCCCAGGCACCGGTCACTCCTGGGGCAGCCCGGCCGGACCAAGACGCTCTCTCTGGGATAAGGGTATGGCGCACGTGGCATCGATCAAGCCTGCTCAGTGGCTCACCTGGCCCTGCTCACCCTCAGCCCCCAGGATGGGGAGGGCTATTTGGAAAGAGCGGAATCCGATCTTTAGTCTAAAGACCAGCCCCAGGCTCAGCCGCGGGTGCCGGAATCTCTGACCCCACTTCTCTCTTTTAAACAGCGTTGCCCAGGAGAGCGTTGCCCAGCCCTGGAGAGAAACGGGGACAGGTGTGCTAGCTCCGTGGGCCTGGGCAGGTGACTTCTGCTTCCTGGAAGGCATAGGACCGGGACTCCTGAGGGCCCACGTGCCCTGGAAGAGATAAGGGGGTACAGGGAACACTGAGCTCAGAGCCGGTCCTGGCTTAACCTCCCAGCGTGACTGTGTGGGGTCTTGCTGAGCAGTGGTGAGACACCAGGGCCCCGAGGCCAATTGCCTGCACTCCAGCCCAATCGCTCACTGCCTCTCTGACTCAGTCTGCCCGTCTGTAAAATGGGGCAATCTTGACTGCTTGTGGGTTCCTGCGAGGATCACAGGAGTTAGCAGCCCGTGGAAGCAGGAAGCAGGGAAATGTCTGGCAGAGGTCCGAGTTGAGGACATCTGAGTGTCATTGTCGCCTTAGGGCCATTGCACCCCAGGCCAGCACGGTCCACTTCGCCACTCTGCCTTCTCCGCACTCGCTCCCGAAGGGCAGGGCTGACTCCATTTCTGCCCCTGGAACAAACCGGGCTGTGGCCTTGCTGGGGCTCAGTGGCTGCTGTGGCCAATCGCCACATGCGACCCTGGTTTTCTGCCCCCCTCCAACCCGACCCAACTAGAGACGAGGGGCATTGGCAGGGGACTCAGCAGCAGTGACCCCGCTGGACAAAGGACGCCCCGCATCAGTAACCCAGGCTTTGCTGTCCAGGTCTCGTGGCCACCAAGGTCAGGCCAACCTCGGAAATCAGCTCCGGGAACAGCTCCCTGCCAGCCACCCCACTGAGGCCACCAGCAGGCGGAGCGGACGCGGACGGCGTGGACGCAGTCGGATCATTGGGCCTTTATGGGCCATTCCATTTCTAAAATATGGCGTCAGTTGCAAAGTGATGATGCCTGTGGCAAGAAATATTTATCGTGTGTAGGACTGTAATAAATATTGCTTTTATATCCTAAATAAAACCGAAAAATCCTGAATGTTTTGTGGGCCCCTTTTATGTCTTCCCATTACGGCCCCGGTCCAGTGGTTTAGCCAAAATTTAGTGGCGGTGAATATGAGCTACAGTGACACGCTCCCTGTCAGCGCACTCCACCACCGCTGTCCTGAGGGGACCCCGCTCTGACCGAGACCATCGGACGTGCAAGGAACAGCTCCCCAAAGCCGGGAAATGGCCGCTTCATGTACACGTTGATTCTGTATTCGGAGGCCCGATTGGATCAGGATCCCTCGTTCCACATCCCTGCAGGCAGGGCGCTGTGGGAAGATAAGGTGAGGGTGCAAACACGTGTGGATCCAGAGAGCCCCTCACCTGGGCCAGTCCGAACCACACATTCGGGCCTTGTGTTAACTGCGTGTGTTGCCAAGGTGAGGAAGTTGGGAGGAGGGTGAAAATCATTCATTCCTCCGCACGCTTTGCGGAAGGTGCCTTATGGTAAGGAGCACGTGGGATGCCCCCATCCCAAGACCTCACAGGCAGATCAGGGGCCTACAGTGGACACACCATCTCGGGTGGATGCGGAGATGAGCAGCAGCACCGCCCACTGAGGCCGGTGCCCCGCCCGTGCTGCAAGGGCAGAGGGGTTCTGTCCTCTCCTGTGAGCTGCAGCCTGTTCCTCTTCATGGCCCTGACTTCTGTCTCCTAGAGCTGCAGGTCACCGCCCAAAGGACGGTCCCCATGGGGCTGAGACAGGGCCCAGGAAGGCGACTTGATGACAAAGGGCTCAGAAAACAGACACGACCAGCACCAGCGAGGGGCACGGGGAAATGCAGGCATTCGGACACTCCCCGGGAGGGACTGTGAGCAGGGGGTGATGACAGAAGGTGTAGAGAGGGGACTATTGGGAGCCACACTTGAGCACCAGGTTCCACCATGGGCTGTTTCATGCACGTGTGCACACACCACACACACGTGTGCACAACACACACACATGGCTGCCGGCTCATCGCCATTTCGCTCTGCCCCCATTCGGTTCTGGGAACTCCACGCTCAGGCATCCCGAGGGGATGTTTCTCTTGATAATCCAACATATCTGCCCCCCTCCCCAAAAATGAAAACATTTCGAATGTCTGCTCACTGCCACCGGCCAGCTCGACCTCACCTTGCTCCCTGGACACCCGGTCCTGCTGCCATGGCAGGGGATGGGGTCGGACTCCTGTTACGGGACAGAAGACAGAATATGGAAGAAAATGTCTGGTTGGCCAGGGCCTGTCCCCAGTGAGCCCCGTCCTGTGGATGACTACGTCACGGGGGTCACTGCAGCTGCCCTGCACCCCTCCTCTGAGGCCTGGGTGGCCAGCAGCTGAGGACACAGGGGGGCTCTCTGGGCCCAGAGGGGGTTCCAGCACAGGAGCAGCAGTGACATCCCTGCCACTTGCTGGGCAGATGTGCCTTCTCCAGCGAGGGCGGAACCTCTGCCTTTTTTCTAATATACTGATTTCAGAGAGGAAAGGAGAGAGAAACATCAATGAAGAGAGAGAATCATTGATCAGATGTCTCTTGCACGCCCCCGACTGGGGATCGAGCCTCAACCGGGCATGTGCCCTGACCAGGAATTGAACACTGGCCTCCTGGTTCATAGGTCAACGCCACACCTGCCGGGCGGGGAGGCACTTTCTGTAGAGGCTTCTCCGAGCCCTGGGGGTTATGGCTGCTTCTTAGGTCAGCTATCCCTCTGTCCGCCACCGTCTCTGTCCTTGCTGGCCTTAACACGAATCCATCACCGTTAGTCTTCTTCCCCTGAAACGGCCCTGCTCAGATCACAAGGTGGTTTCTGGTTCCCGATGAGACCCTGGCTGATGGGAGTGGGATTGGTTTCCCCAGGAGCAGCCTCCTACAAACCAGGAGGTCAAGGTTCAATTCCCAGTGATGGCCTAGAAGACACCCCGCTGGGCCACGGCCTTCCCCCGAGCCACGGCCCAGCACCGCACAGAGAGTGGCCTGTGAACAGCACCGGCATGAAGACCAGGGCACAGCCCGAGAGAGAGAACCCACGTGCCCAGGTGTGTCCTCATATGTGTGGGACTGACTGAGAGGCAGGCGGGGAGGTGGTGCCACTGTGGGCCAGGGGCAGGGGCAGCGTCTCTGAACAGACACTCCCTGCACCTGGGAGTGAGTAGGTGGGTGCTCCATCACTCAAAGAACGCGATTCATTATCCGGGGTTTTATCCCACATCATTGTACATTGAAAAGGAGGAGTTTTGTTTGAGTAGGATGTAGAGAGCCCATCTGGGCCATCATCAATGTTTTTGTGAATGTTTCAAAGTAGAGTATCTTCAGTTATCACACAGCTTTGCTGCTTACGGTTGTGTCGGACGACTTCGCCACAAAAACACATTGGTTTAAAATATTTATTAATTTAAAAATTTTAAATTTTTTTCTATACAAAGATGATGAGAAAAGTCCCATGCACACTCTGGGCATACAATAAAAATAACTCAAATGTCATTGGATGGTTTTGTACAAAATAATTCTTTTTCGGTGGGACCTCCGACAGGCAGTGCAGCCCCCTCTCCGGGCCGGGGTGTCCCGGGGGTATGAGGTGATTACCTTACTACACCTGGGAGTGCCCTCCCCCCCCGTCCCTGTGCCCTGGTGTTCACAGATGTCACTATGACGAATGATAAAGTACCCTATTGCTACGACGCAGAAAACGAGACGGAGACGTGAGGACACTTGAGTGAGGAGCGCCCCGGCTCCGGGAACTCCTGGGGGCCCGCAGGGACTCACAGAGGTTGGCAGGGAAGCTGCAGGGAGTCGGCTCAACTCGGGAAAACGCCTCGAGATGGTTTCAGGTGGTGCCCGCTTCTGCCGAGTTACCAACCTGCAGTGGGTTTAGCATCTGTATATATTACAAGTCATTTGCAGAATTAAAACAACCAAGGGATCCACATGGCATGGCAATTAGAAATGCATCGAACTCTGCACATTGTACAAAAAGCTTCAATATGAAACAGTAATCCTCTGAGAACTGAGCCGGCCCGGGAGGCACCCCACTGCGCAGCCTGGGCCGCCCCCACCGCCCACCCCTTTCCCGCGAAGCTCAGTCTTATTGCATTTTCCACACACTCATCTCATTTTCCGCAGCCTGAGTCTGTTTTCCTTGTCCCGTTTCTTAAGCGTAAGGATGAATTGGTTGAAAAAGTGCTCTTGGTCCTTCCTTTTTTGAACAAGTCGAAATCTCTGGTCCCGGCCATACTTCTCGGCAAACTCCTTGAATGTGGTCCTGAAAAGCAAGAGGGTCCTGCTAAGCCCTCCCCTGAGCCGAGTCCTGGTGTTCCGGAACCGTGCCCGCCAGTGTGCCCGAAGAGGGGGGGGCGGGGCGCCCCTTTCCCAGGGCCAGGGGAGCAGGGAGTTTGGGGGAATCAACGGGCTATAGGGAGTAGCTCTGGGTCTCCAACAACTGACCTACCTGCTCCCCACACTGGGCTACTCCCACTGGGGCTGGCAGGGTCCTGACCCATTGTCACTTGCAGACCCCCCATCAGCACATCCGATAGCCTCTAGAAATGAGTCAGGCCTCCCTGCCTCTCCAGCCTCCTCTCTCTGAGCCCGCTGCTGCCCACCTGCCCCCCATCATTGTTTCGGCCACACAGGTCTTCTTCCGTCTCTTGCTCTTACCAATCACCCACCTGCCACGGGTCTTGGCATATGCTGTTCCCTTGCCTGGCACACCCTTCCTTTATTCACTCATCATTTAAAGCCCACTCATCATTAAGCATCAGGCCGACCATATTTTCCTCGAGAATATGCTCCCTATCTGGGGGGCCAGAGACCTGTGCATGGCTCAGGCATGACCTTCATCAAGGATACGACCTCCATAAGCCTCCATAGCGCAGCTTTACTGGCTCCTCCCTCACGGGAGTGGGAACGCCAGTATCGGCTTTGTTCCCATTGGACATCCTGAAGGTCTGGCCCTGCGGCCGGGTGTAGTGAGCACCCAGATATTGGCGGACTGGATCCGTAACTGCCAGATATTGGCGGACTGGATCCGTAACTGCCAGGCCAGGGAGTCCCTGTGAGGTCACTGGAGAGGGGTCATGGAACCTTTGCCAGCGCGGGGTCCTCAGGGCTTTCGCTCCTTCCAGGTCTGGACCTGAAGCTCAGGAGCTGTGACAGCTACAGAGCGGCTGAGGCCCAGGGGCCGCGTGCAGGTGTTCAGACCTGCCTCCCTCGGAGCCTGGCCAGGCGGGGGGGGGGGGGGGGGGGGGGCTGAGCGGCTAGGGCACCTAGGGAGCAGGGGAAAGCTCAGCCTTGGTCCAGGGGGCACCTCTACCCCCCACCCCCATTCCTGGTGTATCTCTCTCCATACCTGGGCGACACCTTCGACTCCTCCAGAAGTTTTCTGAATTCTTCTTTGGCTAGCAGCAATTTGCTTTTCTTTTCCTTGTATTCCTCTTTTATCCTCGTCTTGACAAACTGTTCAAATATCTGAAAACATACACAAGAGGAAAGTTGTAGGGGCTGCGTGTCAGACATGCAACCTTGTGTTTTAGACACTACAGGGGACAGCGGGAGCGGAGGCGAGCCTTTCTCCTCCAGGGGCTGCAGCTGCAAGCCACGGCCCTTGGAGGGGTCACTGCCCAGGACTCCGCCTGGGTTCCCCCCGGGAGGCCAGCGTGCGGCCCCTGCAGGCACCATCCCTCCGACACCAAATCGCTGGGGAGTGGCTGGCTGTGAAGAGCTGGCAGTCCGGACGCCCAGCCCTGAGGCCCCTGTGAGTCTCCTCTTGGGTCTCAGAGAGCAGCCTGCAGTCCCGTTCCGCCAACTCTCACATCACAGCCAGCAACACGCAGAGGACGTACTCTGTTCTAGTCAATTCTTATGGCAACATAATTGGCTTTGAGTCAGTGCAGCACCTGATTCCGCACACTCTGGCCTCCAGAAAGACCCTCCTTGAGTGTGGGCTCAGGGACACCCTCTCCCGGGGGTGTCACGGAGCCTCCAGGTCACCGGGTGGGTCATCAAAGCAGAAAAGACCAAGAGGAGACCTGGCCTGGACACTGGCTGCCCGAGGTTGACAAGACGTGTGTCTGCAGGGAGCCCTGCCCCGCACTGGGAAGGGCGTGGACGCCGGGAAGGCAAATCCCTCAGGACCAGGACGGTTTCTCTGGGGCCCTGGGGTGGCCCTCCCTCTGGTAGGTTAAGGTGGCTTATTGTTCTAACGTCAGGAAAAGGGTCCTTCCAGATGCTAAAGTCACGGTGGGCAGAGCAGGGCTGTTGGCTGCCCGTGCCCTCCAAGCCTCAGGAACATGAAGGAGAACATCAGCTGCAGACCCGTGGAAGGTGTGTGCGAACACAAATAAAAAGATGAATGAAAACCCCACATGGGATCCTATCAGGCCAATAACGAGCAATTCTGTGCCATTCCGACCAGTGGCCCTGGCGGAGGGCGGCTTCGACGTGGGTGCCCGGGAAGCCTCGCCTTCCTGCCGAGAGGACCGGGACAGGACAGGGTGGAGGGGACAGGATGGGCTGACGGACGCTGCGGCTTGTCTCTGGCTCTGGATTCCATCCGTCACAAGCCTCTGGGACTAGACACACGGAATGCTGGGCACCCCCTGAAGACGCAGCAGCAGAGACATCCACGCAGGGACTTAGAGGGACAACGCGCACACAGGTACTAAGTCGGGATGTGACCGGCTGATTCCCCCTTCACGGCAGGCGGTGATGTCAGCTCCCCGGTTGCCTGGTATTTTAACTCATCGGGAAGGTGAACGCGGGGTTATTACCCAAAGAGGAGCGTGCGGCTCTGCTGTTGGTGGGAGTCCTGCTCTATTCATTTTAAATCTGGAGAGCGAGCCCGGCCCTCTCTCTGCCCAAAGCCATTTATCCACCTGATCAGATGCCCCTCTTTCCTCCCCCTTTGCTCTCTCTGCCGCGTTATTTACGCAGCATCACTTCATGCCGCAGGGCTTGTCCCTCTTTAGCAAACTGGACCCGTTTTATTCAGAGTGGGGTCTGGCTTTCCCACAGAGACCCTGCTGGCTCTCGTCCCAGGATGGCATGTTCTAGTGTAACGAGATGAAACACCACGCGTTACCATAGAAACGGGTCTGATTGCAGGCCCTGGACCCCGCTCCCTGTCTAGGCTCACTCGCTTCCCCTCCGCCGCCCCAGGAGCCTCAGGGTTCGCCATGACCACGCTGCTGACGGGAGGCCCTCACAGGCTCCGAGTGGGATGGATGCTTCCATTCGTAAACAGGGCTGTGTTTTGAATGGGGCCCAGCTATCGTCCCCCCATCAGGTCAGCCTCGGTTCCACACCTCCTAGACTGCCGCCTCTCCCCGGGGTGGGGCGGATTCTCCTGAACGCTGGCGTCCACCCTCTGAGGACGCTCGTGCCCAGTGCATCAGCCACCGGCTCCTTCCCTTCCTCCTCGGCCTCGGGACCAAGCGCCCATCGGCCAGACCTCCCTTTGAAACATGCTCCAGGCAGGCTACCCGTGATCCAGCCCTGTCCTTTGTGGGGACGTCCACCCTTTACTTAGGGACACAGTTCCCTGGGGCCTCCCCCATCTCCCTGTTCCTACAACAGACCTTCATCTCCCTAACATGGTCATCCAGGGCGAGCTCATCAAGCAGGTGACAGGACACCTTTCCTCCAGACCCGCCACACACTAACCACCAACTCCAGGGCCGGAGCACCCGTCCACACATCCCCCAGACGGCAGCATCTGTCCGCCAGCCGTGCTCCCAGGTGGGTCATCCCGATGGCGCGTCCCCAGGCCTTGCCACCCGTACCTGTTTCCGTTCCTCAGAGTTCAGCAGGAGGTAGCGGGGATCAAACACGACCTTATGCAATTCTTTCTCCCACGTAGAAAACGCTGACACCTGCAAGGGGGGGGGGGGGGGAACAGTTGTTTTTAGCACCTGTGCTGAGCCTGCAGCCCCTGACAAGGTCACGGGCTGAGGACAGCCTTCAGGACGCCAGGGCGGGATGCAGGGCTGCCGAAAAGTGTTCGACACGTCATGCTTCTAAGACGTCCCTGCTGAGAGGGCTAGGACATTTCACGTCTACTCTCGTGACCCTATTTCTTCCTGGGGCGTCTTTTGGGGCCATGCGTCTCTGACCCAAAGCCCCGTACATCCTGGGAGCTGTGACACGCTGGGCTGTCACAGCTTGAAGGAAGAAAGGGCACCGAAAACTTCAGCGCGCAGCCCAGGGAGACGCCACGCCCTGCAAATAATCTGAGTGGAGCAACATTTTAGTTGATTTTTAATTTCTTTTTCCTTTATTGATTTTTAGAGAGAGAGGAAGGCAGAGGGATAGAGAGATAGAAACATCAACAAGAGAGAAACATCAATAGGCTGCCTCCTGCACATCCCCTGCTGGAGATCGAGCCTGCAACCTGGGCATGTGCCTTGACTGGGAACCAAACTAGTGACCTCTTGGTTCCTGGGTTGATGCTCAACCGCTGAGCCATACCGGCTGGGCTTAGTTGATTTTGAATCCACACTTAACCCTTTTTGAGGTGGGATTTATTTTTTAAAACTATTTTATTTGGCAATAGTTTAAGGTTTACGGAGAAGTCACAAGCATATTGCAAAGTTGGCATGTACCCCACACCTAGATTTCCATATTGTCAACATCTCCACATTCTCTCGATTCTTCCACACGACCATCCCACAAAGCCCACCCTGCACTCAGAGGCCTTTAGTGTCCACCTAGTTCTCCCTTCCTGCCCAGGCTCCGACCTACGAACCACGTGACACTTAGTCTCATGTCTCCTGTGGGCCCTGCCAGGGACTCGGTGTCACATAACTCACTCCACCAGTTTGCTGACACTCTTCAGAGGTGTAGATGCATAATAAAATACATTTTTAAAAAATTAACAGTATATCATCCTTGCCTTTGACCAAATCTACAATCTGTGAATACTTGAGATGAGCCACGTCGACAGCGACTGTAATTCACGGCGATAAAACAGGCGGCGGCGTATCTCCAGGCAGCCATGCTAACCTCCTGCAGGGCCTGAGCAGTCGAGAGAGGGTGGCCGGGGCGTGGGGCCCAGGATGGAGGCGGGAGCCAGGCAGCATGCGCATGACACAGGGCCCTCGCTGCCTGCAGGTGGACACAGCTGTTCCAGAACAGGGACTCTCGATGACTCGTTACAATCAGCCCTGTGATCGCCTCTGATAAATGCCCAGTCCCCCAGGCCTGTGTCCCCACAGGTTGGATGGAAAGTCCCCCCCTATGGGGCAGGCTGAGCGTCCCCTGGAGCTGTTCTCAGCCCTGAGGAGCCCCGGGGTTTCCCCCCATAGTAGGGCACCCTCTTCTCCACAGCACCCTTCACAGTGTGATGTTGTCCTGGTGACCCCCACCCTGTCCACAGGCCCCGCCCACACTGTTCTGGATCATGCACCCAGGGGTGCGGTCTTGGGGCTTCTGTAGAACTCTGCCCACACACAGGTCCCCCAGACCAGTGCCGTTCTCTCCCAAACTTCCCTTCATCTCCAACACTGATCTCTACCCATCGCACCTCATGCTCCCTGGATTCTGCGGCGTTTGGTCCTTGAACAACGGGACCCTTCAGGCAGTTCACATCCTCCCTGTGACGTCCAGCCTCCCACGGCAGCCTGACTGTGAGGCTGACTCCATGTCCTTCCGGAACCATGTTCCCCACTCGTCGTGTCAGCACTGGACAACCAGCAGCTGTCCTTCCAGAAACATCTGGGCATCCAGCATTTGCCCACCGGTGGCCGGCGCTGTCCGTGAAGGGGGAGCCGCCTGTCTTGGCAGGAGCGCGTCTGTTGTCACCGTGGTGGACAGAGCCGCTGGCCTCTCGCATTTACGCACAGTCTTCATTTCACCCGGGATTGGAGCTGTCCTCTGCCTGGGCAGTTGTGGGGTGTGGCCTCCCCCACTGGGGGCTGCGCTGGCCGGCATGTCCTTGCCCCTGCAGCAGCCAGCCTCTCGGCGAAGGTCCTCTGACATTACTATGTTGAATGGCTGTCTGTCCCCTGCCATTTCTCCAGCAGAGACACCAGAGCTGGCGTCTACAGCGCGGGCCCAGGAGGAGCGGCAGGGCCCACTTCCCACCCGACAGATGCCACCGCCATAAAGTGGCCACATCGGGCAGGGTCAGAGGTCACCGTGGTGGCTGGCTGGCACGGCGTCCCTGTGCGGCACCATCTGCACCTGCAGATGCCACGGCTGGAGGGAGGGCAGGCGGAGGGAAGCTGCAGCTCAAGGTCAAAGCTGGTGCCCTGTCTGCAGCCCTTGGGACCGGCCCTTCCTTCTACAGCTGTTTCAATGCCTCTTTGTGAAAATGTCTCGTTTGGAAACCCCAACGATGTGTTTTATCAGAACAAACAGCTCCATTGTCTGCCTCTTGACCAGCTGAGCACTGAGCTGTCCCACCCAGAGGACAGAGTTCGAGGGTGGCCCTCACCAAAGCCCCCCGGGGGTCAGCAGGCCACGGGGGGCAGGACGGGGGTGCAGAGTCTTGAGCACAAAGGATGAGACAGCTCTGCCTCAGTCCCAGCATCACCAGAGCCCGTCCGAGCACCGAGCAAAGGGCCGCTGTGGCCGATGGGGAGATTGCGTTTTGGAGGAAAATGGATCCTGTTTAAGTAAAGTGTCTGAGAGTTCAGCTCGGGCTAAAAGGTGAGATCACGTAAGTCTCTTAGCGCCCGATGCCGGCGACAGTCCCTCCGTCTCTAGACCAGACCTCAGCAGGCAGGGCGCCTGCGGGCAGCAGACGCTGCTTTGATCTTCAAAGCCAAAGGCTATTTTGAGTCTCTGTCAATCCCTGGATCCCAGAAGAGGCTGGGACCTAAAGGCTGGAGGACGGGCAGGAAGATGGCCAAGGACAGCTCTGCCAAGTTCTGAATCACAGGATCAATCGTCTGCCTCAGAGGGGGGAAGGTGGGGGTCAGTGCTGTCTGGCTCACTCAGTTAAGGCTGAGGCAGGGGCTCCCCTCTGAGCAGCTGGGAACCCCGTCCTGGCTCCGTGTGCATCTGGGTGACTGTCTGTCCGCACCGCCCTCCTCATCCTTGTTGCCGCCTGCCTGACTGTATTGGGGCCCAGCGGAGCTGCTGTTGCCTCAGCTCCAGGCCATGGCACTGGGGTGCCCAGGGCTCCGTAAGGGGCCAATCTCCATCTCAAACAAAAATCCAGTTCCTTCGGACGCTAATGTTTTTTAGCAAATTTTATGATCACACACACATGCTGTGTTGGTAGGGTGACCCACGGACCACGGGCTCTCTCCCTCCTGCCTACTCCGGTCTCCCCTGCTCTCGGGGGGATGGACCACAGGCCTCGGGCAGGAGGGGCAGGGCCTTTCTCACCTGGTGGAGGGAGGTGGGGAAGCTGGTGCCGCGACCTGAGGGGCACCAAGGCCACTGGGGGCAGGCGGACGTGACAGTCACTTAACCACACAGGAGACCCAGTGGCCCCTGAAGAAGGTGCATAAACGTCCCTTTGGCCTGAGCACCCCACGGCTGCCCCCATGAGCCCCAATGCTGCCAATTCCATTCTTGAGGAGCCGCCTGTCCACCCTTGGCCCTCCCTTCCAGCCCTCCCTCCCGTCTGCTGCTCAGGCTGACAACAAATACTGTTCTTTGCAATTAGCACTCACACCATTACCCTCTTTAGCCAATTTCCTGCAACACTGGCCCGCGTCTTCTGTCTCTGGAGCGGGAGCTCCTGACCGTTACAGGCAGCGGGAGATGGACACCACCCAGAGGAATTGGACAGGCTGGAGGGGGAGGCTGTGCCCTTGGTGTGTCCTTGACAGAGAGACAGTGTGTGTCATCCTTTGAATTTCTGGGAAGCAGCCCTGAGACAGGGGCTGGGGTGCAGCCAGTGCACCTGGGAGGTGATTCCGGGCTCACAGATTTCTGGGAGGTGATCAGGAAACCGGGCAAACAGATGTCCCTTCAGTCCGGGGCAGGTGTTCCCCTTACGGGGAAGGAGAAGCCACGGGCGGTACAGGAGGCCTGGCAGGGTCCTGGAGAACATGCGGAACCTGCCTGAGATTGGTCTCCCAGGGACAGGGAAGTGGGGGGTTGCACCCCGGTCCCCACCCCTGCTGGGTTGAGCAGATGTTTAATCCTGAATTTAGAGGTGGGAGTGGTCGGCCCGTGGAAAGTTCCATGAGCCCAGGTGAGCCAGGTTCCTGCAGGTGAAGCAGAGGGAAGCAAGGGGCCTGGGACACCCCGACCCCACCCCTCACCTCCCAGTGCTCACAGTATTTTACGAATTCAGGGTTGTTGTTGTTTCCATTTTGACGGATAAATACAATTGTACACTCTTATTCCACCATATGCTTGGCTGACTTAATTGACTTTGAGAGCTATTCTCCCACTCGGGGTCGTCTTCGTGGGCGGAGCCTGTCTAGTGCTGACGGAGAGGTGACTGTCCGAAGAGCTGCGTCCCCAAGGCCCTGGCGGCCCATCCGGGAAAGAGGACCCACAGCAGAGAAGCCGGGAGGAAGCCTCAACCGGAGGGAAAGAACAAGGAGATTCCCGAACGATCAACAGCAAATGCCAAGCTCCTCGCTGCCCGGCGCTGGCGGAGCGAGCTGGCCGCACGGTCTCAGGACCTCGAGCATCGCTGCCGGGAGGGCCTGGGGCGAGGAGGCTGCTTCGCAACGAGCGGGGATGCTGGGCACGGGCTCACAGGGTGCAGGGAACACGCCCTCACAATGACCAAGATCGGCCCGGGCGGGGGGGGGGGGGGGGGTGCGCCATCAGAGCATCATTGAAAACAGCCAAATGGGAGATGCACTAAATAAAGGAAATGCAGGATTTTTGAACCAACAATTTCTGCCTCAACAAGAAACATTTTCCAAATATGTATATTAATATTTTTAAATGATTAAAAGGAGGAAATAGGATACAAGTGTATAAACTAGGTAAAATATTAATGTTTAATATATATTTAAAAATTAATGTTCAGCCACATTTAACTATAGCACAGTTCAATATTCATTACACTGTAAGATCAAATGTTCATTCTTGATACTTTTAAAAACTGTGTTATTAAAAAAAAACACTGGGAGAAAATGCACCCAATGAATGCACTGACTGTCTCTTAGGGCGGCATTTCGGGGGAATTCTTATTTATACTCTTAATATCGTGCACATTTTCTATAATAAGCATGCATTCTTTTATATCATAACTTTATTAGCGGTATTATGTGTCTTGTGAGATATTGAAGCGTTGCCATAGGAACCCGAGGCAGATAAGCTTCCCAAGGAGCCAAGAGGCACCCTGTGGAGCAGACGTCATGGCGCCCAGGACTCGAGTCACACATCATTCCTCTCCCTCACGCCCAGGGCCACCTCCCCGCCACCTGTGACCTGCACATGAGGACGAGCAAGCCCTTACACCACGTGTGCTGGCCCAAGTGCCATGACAGTCCCGGAGAGCGACGCCGTTTACCCATCACTCACAGGCAGGGCCCTCCTGCTGCTTGGGAGAAGGCGCCAGCTGCCCCGGCAGCCCCAGGCCCCCCATATCGAGCCTCTGCTTCATTTGTACCAACTTCACCCCAACAACCTCAGGTCGGTGGCTGTCTTAGTGCGGGTGGAGACTGGGTGACCGGGCTGGGGTGAGTGTGCCGTCTGCGGCGTCCTCATTCTAACACTCGGAGCCAAACCCCAGGAGCTGGCCTGTGTTGGTGGCCTCAGGGTCACTGAGCCTCCCAGAGGCTGCCCACTGCCAGGAAGCGGGCCCAGGGTCACCCAAAGAAGGGGCCCTGTGAGGACCCCACGCACCTGCAGCCCCGAGTCCCCGAATGAAGAGCGAGGGCTCTCGAGAGTCCTTCCCCCTCCCGGCTCCTGGGAAAGCCATGCTTACTTCCGAGGGAGGCCTTGCAGAAGGAAGAAGGTCCCCGTAAATCATTCTGAACTCATTTACCTACATAGGCGGGATTAGATGAATAACCTGAGGTTCAATTACACCGGCCCCTTTAGACGCTGAAGTTTACCAGGAGGCTGCATTGTGGTTTGTGCAGGGAAACAAAATAAAAACAAAAGCTTCCACGGAGCCATCAATTACCTGCTACCAAACCACAAAGCCGAAGGCCCTGCCCCCACCCCAAGCCCGGGAATACCTCAAACGTGCCCCTCCTAAACTGGAAACCCACAGGCCCTCGCCTCTTCGCTCCATAAGCACATGCATTTCTGGACAAAGGCAATGAAACATCGTATTAATCACGCAGCTCATGAAAACGTGACCTTTCTGTGCCTCGTTGTTAAGCGACTAGAAATCTGATGGGCTCAGCTACAGCATCCTCATGGGCACGAGTAACTTATGAAGTCTGCCTGCATGTTTTATAAAGTCAAAGCCATAAACAGTGGCCTTGCTCTCTGCCATCAGCAGTCATTCGGTCGGTCTTTGCTGCCCGGGGGCTGCGTGTGGCTTCCTGGGAACTGCTCAGGAGGCCTGCGGTCTGGGTTCGGGCTCCCCCGCAGCCTCTCTCCCCGGGAACCCAGCACCGACTGGGGGTCTCCTTCCCCATGGCCGATGCTCAGGGGTGAGGATCTAAGGCCGAATGGAGCCTCCCACCTCCGTGAGGCAGGAATGCTCTGGAAATCTCATTAGGAAAACCGCTCAACCAAGGCCACTGGGATCAATTCACGAGCCCATATAAACACAGCCAGCCAGCGTCCCCGGGAAGGGAAGGGGGGTCCCTTGGGCAGCCCTGAGCTCACGCAGGTCAGTGTGATGCGGTGACGGTGAATTGGGGCTGGTGGGTTTCCAAAGCAAAAAGATGAAAATGTAGATCTGAATAAGATGAAGTCTCAAGAAATGTCGGGAGGTCCCAACGCTCCAGGAACTGTGGCTGGCTCGGTAGCTGGGCAGAGCATCATACGGCAGCCGGGGCAGGGGCAGCAGGCAGGGCCAGGAAAGGGACCCCGTGCCGAGAGTGGAAGGAGGGGTGGGCAGGGCGGCCACCACAGCTGGTGACCCGCGGTGATGCTGGGTACTAGCCCCCAGGACCACGAGGCCAGTCCGATGGCCCCAGAACGAGCAACTCCACTGGGTGGCAGGGAAGGCGTCTCCGTCTCCATGGGCCTCGCACGGCTGACATCCCCCGGGACGTCCAGAGAAAGGGCGGACAGATGGCTGAGCAGGAAGGGGCAGGACGCCAGGTGCACCCTGAGCCCCGCCCTCGCCCCGGTTCTTTTCATCCTGGTCCAAGGGACTAGGACCCTTTCTAAAATGATTTGCAGCTTAAGATACATCTAGTTTTAAAATCACGTCCTGAAAAAACAAAGAGCGACCTCCTCGCGCGTGTCCCTGGCATTCCCTGCCTTGCGCCTGTGTGTGCCTCGGTGATGTGCTAATTCAGGAAAACCCCTTGCACTGTGGTTTCCAGTTCACACATCCGCTTTCCTTTCCAGTCCCCTGTGGTCCAGGCTGCGTTTTATTTGGAGGTGAACGGTCGGTAGAGGAAGCAAGGGGGGCATTAAAAGTCCCGGTGCAAAGGAGGGGGGTCTCCGGGGAGAGTGGCTGTGAGAACCCCCTTCTGATCCTTGAGAGCGGGGACCTTCTGTTCCTGGTGCCCGCGCTCCAGCCCGGCTCTGCGGGGCTCTGCTCAGACCGCTGTTCTGGGGGAGCTCTCTTCCCCATGGCCCCGCACCCCAGTTCCCACGGCACCTGCCCCGGGGTGCTGACTGTGCGGAACTTGCTTTGGAATCCCCAAGGTCACCGACGCGCTCACTGCGATTACCTCGCACACAGGGCCCCGTGGCTGCCTCTGCGCTCAGTCTCATTTCTGAAGAAGTCTGACTGGGCTCACCTCGTGTTTCAGCGCGTTTCCTACCCAAAGGCCAGAGCAGGACATAAAAGGCACCGGGAGGAGATTCGATTATAACGTGTTTCCCCCCATTAAGTTCAACATGGGATGCGTAGCCAACTGCAATGGAGACATCTTGGAAACGAAAAACAGTCAGACGAACCCAGAGCCGTGAAGACCCTGCCTGAGTCAGGAAGCCCAGGGGGGTCCCTCTGGGAGGGGTGGACCCTGAAAGCTGGCTGGGCGCCAGCTGGACTCTGAACACAGACAGGAGCTTCCTGGAAGTGACCTCCGTGACTGGGGGACAGCGGCGCGGTCCCTCGCTCCGAGAGCCGGCCCTGGGTCCGGGTGCTTACCCCTCTCTCCAGGAGCATGTCTCGGAAGTGGGTCACCCGCTCCTCCAGCGGCAGGAGGATCTGGGGCGGCGGCGTCCTGGTGCCCTTGTCCTCTCTCTCCGCCTCCTCTGGGCCAGGGCTCACGAGGCCTTCAGTCCTTTGGGGCACAAGACACAGAGAGTTAAACGCACCCCATCGCAGCCTCCAAAGCCCTCGGAGGAGCTCTTTATCAACAAAGACTCTTATTCTCGGGAAACTCGTTTTAAATCCTGGTGCAGTCACCCCAGCGGAGGTGGAGGCATCAGCTCTTGCCGTGCAAACTGCTTTGTTGCATTTCGGGCGGAAAGCTGAGACCGAAACCCCAACTGATGGGCAGCCGATGAGGAGCTGGCGGAGGGGGCACCGGAGGGCCGGGCAGCCACGGGCCCACGGGGAAGGAAGCCGTCTCACAAATCATCGGAGTTCACACCCGGCCCCGTTTTTTCCGGGAGAGGCCTCGGTTCCGTACAAACGCCTGGAGGACGGTGATGGGGAAACCGCTCTGTCACCCCTCAGGGTATGGCAGGTGTGGTCCTGAGTTCCAACCCCAAACGAGACTTCAGTGACAACAGGGAGACCGGGACCCTGGGGCTCAGGGGGTTCAGTGGGTAAAGTCCCTCACACGGTCACATCCGGGCTTTCTTTTTTTTTTTTTTTTTTTTTTTTAGAGAGAGTAGAATGGAGGGGGAAAGACAGAGAGAGACACATCCATTGGTTGCCTCCCACATTTGCCCTACCAGGGCCAGGGATCGAGCCTGCAACCAAAGTACGTGCTCTTGACTGGGATTGACCCTGGGACCCTTCAATCCGTGGGCCAACGCTCTATGCACTGAGCCAAACCGGCTAGGACACATCCGGACTTTCTGACGTGCGTCTAGCACAGTGCTCTCCCCGGGTGACTTGCTCCCGGGACACTGGGCAGTGTCCAGGGACATCTGTGGTGGTCACACTGGGGAGGTGCTCCCAGCTCCCAGGAGTGGAGGTCAGGGATGCTGCTAGCCCGGCGATGCTCAGGACAGCCCTCCTCGGGGACGGTGCGCCTATCTGGGGACTCTCAGGACGCCGGGCAGTCTGCACGACTGCAGACGGGACCGTTCAAGATCATATAGTCACTTAGTGGCCAGGACCAGGCGGGTCCCCACCTCCTGACACCCTCCAAGCATGTGGCCTTCCTGCCCCTGTCTGTCCAGGGTATTGTGAGCATCCATCCGACCAAGCGGGGGAGGGGGGTGAGGGGGGGGGGACCTGCTAAGCATATTCTGTGTCTCACAAGGGTTTTCACCCGCGAGGGTTGCAATAGGGATGAATCCTACTAATGCAAAATGTGCAAAGAAAAGAAATGATTGCTCAGCCCATCAGGAAATCTTATTTATACACCAACTATTTCGGGAGAACTTACAAGCTTTGCTTCATAGGTGATGGTGTGGAATTTTGAAAAAAGAAAATTACCAGTGGATTTGCAATTGTGTAATCCGAAGAGTATAATTAGGATTTCTTCGTAATAGATTTCCATTGGTTAAAAATAGAAGCGTGGAAACCAGACTCGTATTGTTGTAACTTGAAATGAGATGAATAAGAGAGCCGGGAGCTCGGTGCCGATCTCACACTCAAGCTCATTCCGCAAAATGCGTGGTTCAGGAGCTCGGGGCGCCTTGCAGCCCGAGCGCTTGGTTCAATCAGAATTGGCCAAAGGCACATGCAAACTCGCTAAATAGATTTTTAATATTCTCATGGCTGAACGACTTTGGTGCCGTCGACTAAAGTAAATTCAGATACTTTCATAAAGCTCGCTCCGGCCATCATTGTCCTGAGGGAGAGGGCGGTGTCCCCCAGCCACACTGTCTGGGTACCCGCTCCATCCTGGCCGAGTGGATGGGAAAGGTCTCTCCTGGGGAAAGGGTTTCACTGAGCCACCCTTCCCCGAGGGCGACAGGAAGCCACATGGGGTCAGCTCACGCAGGCGCCACCTCAAGCGTCTGCCGTCGCCTTTGACAAATGAAAACCCCGAGATGGAGGTGGAATTGCTTTGCCTCAAATCCCAAAGCCAGCGGGACAGAGCTTGAATGCCCACCCGGAGCTGCCAGACCCCAAACCCACCCCTCACCCAGCGCAGGGCACCACCCAGCCCCTGGTCACCCCTGTCCACTCCTACAGGCTCCAGAGGCCAGGGCCACCGAGATGCCTGCCCACCACGTGCCGTCGCTGAGATGAGCCTCAGACCTCCCGCCTCTGTTCAGCCCTGAATCCCTGCTTTGCTCGGTCAACAGAGCCCAACAGTCCTTTTCTTTCTCCGCCACCTAATCCCCTGCCGAGGGAAGAGCCAGAGGAAGGACAGGACACCTACCGGTTCCTCTTGGTTTTCACGTTCGGGTCTTCCAGGCCGTCTTCGGAGCCCGACCCGTCGCTGTGCTCGGCTGGAAGAAAGTGGGATTAGGACGGAGGAGCGTCAGCACTCTGCTTGGCAAACCACCAGGCGGCTTCCCTGCAGACTCATCGGGAAACCAGGCAAACAGATGTCCCTTCATGACCGACCTCCAACCCTGCGGCCAGCGTTCTCTGGGAGCACGTCCTTTCATGGCTGCCAAAGAGAAACCTCACTCCCTCAGTGTGGACAAGTGTCCCCGTCCTGCCACTGGGCAGCCAGGCCCTCTGAGGGGCCAGAGGACGGGAGACAGAGGTGGGCGTCCACCCCTCGGCCCTGCCCTTCCATTCCACGTCTGCCTGGCGTCCCTGTGCGTGAACCCCCAAAGCGGGCCCCTCCTCTCGTCCTCCGCGATGGATGATCAGATTTCTCCCGCAGGCCGCCTGCCCTTCAGTGCTGGCTCCGCGGCTGCTTCAAAAAGCCAAACTGATTTTGAAGACAGTTCCCTCCTCCCATCCCGAGAAGGTCGGCTCCGTCAATGTTTGATGAGCTTTGGGAATGAAAAAAGTGAAACGGTGCCTGGATGTTTCATATTTGTCTCCAGAAGGAAGAGAGGAAAAATGAACATTGTGACTCCCGTCCTGGCCGGCAGAGCAGTTTGCCAACGCTCCCCGGCATCGCCACGGCCTGGCGCCCTGGTCCTCATTCTCTACGTGAGTTTCCCCAGGAAGCCACCTCTCACCGCCGTGTCCCCGCGTGGGCACGGGTGCAGGGGTCGCCTTACAGAGCCTGGCCAGGGTGGGCGCTGACCCGGAACTATGGGAACAAGTGGCCTGATTCTCTCATTGTGCAAAGAGGAGGCGTAGGCCAGGCCACCGGTGGGGTCGGAGGTGGGACGGGGTCCATGGGAAGGTCAGGGTTCCTCCCGAAGGGCAGGGTGGGGGAGTTCTGGGGGGCAGGGTCCCCGTTTCCATTGACCCTGGTCTCGGATTGTGCTGAGCGTGGCCCCTGGCGCCCTGTGGCTGGAGACCGTGTGCACTGTCCCTGGGCACACGCAGCTCGGGAAAGCACCCTTTAGTGTCACAGCTGTGTGTGCCCATGGGGACAGTGTATGTACGTTTGTCTTGAATGTAAAAGACTAAAACGTTTACAGAGCGAGTGCAGCCGGTGGCGGCTGGGACCCATCAGTGTGGAAGCCCGCGGCTGCTGTCCCCGGCTGCCCCTGCCGCAGGCACAGGGCCCAGGCTCCCAGAGCTCGTGTTAATCACAGCCTCAGAGCAGCATGCTGTTGTGGAGTTGGACCCACAGGGTGCAGGTCCCAGCCCCCACTTCACAGCAGAGTAACCTTGGCCAAGTGATTACCCTCCTCTCTCTCATTCCCTCTCCTGTAAAGTAGGGATCACGACAGTGGGTTGCAGAATAAGGCCCCCAAAGACGTGCACGCCCTAACCCTCGGAGCCTGGGGATGGATTAGTTATGAGGCCGAGGGAGATGAAGGTTGCCAAACAGCGGCCCTTGAGACGAGAGGCAACCCTGGATCCTCCAGGCAGGCCCCCGGGCATCACGAGGACCCTAAGTGGGAGGGGGACTCTGAGGAGTGGGCCAGAGCGCTGCGAAGGTGCCGCCCTGCAGCCACGGGACCTGGAAGAGGCGGGAGCACGTTCCTCTGGGAGCTGCCAGGAAGAACACAGCTCCACCCTGGCCACAGAGGCTTCTGCTGGGCTCCGACCTCCAGGGCTGTAAGATAACACATCTGTTTTAAGCTGCTCGGTTTGGGATGACTTGTTCCAGCAGCCACAGAGGCTCACACAGAGGCGCCCACCGCGAGGAGCTGCGTGGAGCCATCCGTGTACCCCGCTGTCCCTCCCGAGGTCCCTCTACCTCGGCAGGCCTCACCGGGGTCTCCTGTCCTCCTCAGCCACTGGGAGGCGCCAGCAGGGACAGAAAAGCAGGAGCTGCAGTGCTCATCGCCTGTCTCACCCTCCCTCCTCCTGCCCTCTCCGAGGATGAGCCCCCCTCACTGTCACTGTCCCCAATCTGCCCCCCAGGCTGCACCAACCCCTCCCGGAGGAAGGGCCTGGATTTCCCACTTGCACAGGGCAGGCAGAGCAGCTGAGGCCACAAGGCAGGGGTGTGGGGGCTGGGCTGCAGGAGGGTTCTGCCATCACCTGGAGCAGGTGACTGTGGCTGCAGGTAAGTACAGGGGCAGCTTCTCCACAGGTTGGAGGAAAGCTGACCCTGGGAAAACAAAAGTGAGTGCACTGGTCCCCAACTGACGGTGGTTCCACTTAGGATTTGTCAACTTTACGGTGAGCGAAAGTGACACGCATTCAGCAGAAACCGCACTTCACATTCCGAATTTTGATCTCTCCTGGGCTAGTGATATGCCATGGGGCGGGATACTCTCTCGTGATGCCGGGTGGCGGGGTGATGAGGGTGACCCTCTGATGCTCAGCGTGGCCAGTGTGTTCTCAGTGTTGTGTTTTGAGTTATCACACCCCGTCATGTCTACAAAACACCCACCCGTGTCCCCTGCTTCTGGGGAGAAAAAGAGGAGGCAATGGCTCGAGATGGAATTCAAGAGAATCGCCCACCTGTGGGCTAGCAGGATGCTCTGAGCACCGTTAAGGTGGGCGAGGCTGAGCTAGGGCCTTCGGCAGGTTCAAGGCATTAGATGCACCTGTGGTTTATGATCGTTTGGACTTACGGTGGGTTATGGGGACGGAACCCCGTCATAGGCCGAGGAGCATCTGCCCCCTCTACGCTGAAAAGCTCGTAATAGCCGGAGCACCCCGCAACGTGTCAGGGATGCGTGCGAGGGCTGGCACTTTCCATTTCACTTTCGTTCCCGAGCATTTATTCTCAGCTAACAGCACGGCTGCTAGGGCCATAAAAAATCTGGATGCTCTGCAAGATAATTAGAAAATAATTCAGGCCTTCGCCTTAATCTCTCAGCCCTGCCAGCACAGAGAAAAAGGGGCCCTTTTCTGACCTGCTGAGAGATGGGCGGCTCAGTACTGCGGGCAGCTCTGCCTGCTGCCCCCCGAGCTGCCACACACTCTCAGCTCCCACTTCTGTGCCTGCCGTTCCCAGGAAACACCAAGGTGTGCGCACGCACACATGCATGTATGTGCATGCACACGTATGTGCACGCATGCGTGCATGCACACACGTGGATACATGTGCGTGCACACAGACCTCTAAACCTAATAGCAGCTAAATGTGGCAGTTGTTTTATAGAATTCATTTATTTTTGCTTCCTTTTGAAAAATAGTGGCTATCAACTGGAATGCTTGATTGTTCCATCTCAGACTAGAAACAGGCATTACTACATTCAAATCCATAACAGTTAACAAAGTCTCCACCAATCACTATCGCTCCTGGAGCTGCTTCTTATCCTCATTAGGGTCAAATGGTTTAATGAGTCCTAGTGGAGACCGGCCAGGAAAAAATGCCACGGCTGGCGGCTGAAGGTCACAGCTCTGCCGGGAAATCCCCCCTTACCCTCCAGAGCACCTCCTGTCCGAAACCTGCCGCAGGCAGAACCATGTGGGTGGGCCTCCGGAAATTAGAAGCTGTGCATTCAAATAGCAGGCAGTTCTACCCGGCAGCAGGAAGTTGAGAATTGAGGTCACCGGCATAGCTTTAAGATTCGGGTTTTAAAAATTACTGGCTTTAGAGCATCGCGTTGAAAAGAGAAAGCAAGGTTAAAACTCTTGTAACGACGTGTAACTGTACCATCACACATCTATCTAGGCAGAGGAGTTAGGGCCACCGGAATAAGTGGATGGAAGACAAAAACACCTGAATATACTGAAGCTAAATTCACTGGTTGCTCCTGGTTGTGTTTGTGGGGTCTGAGGCTCCATTCTCCCCCCTTTTCAATATACAATGAGACGTGTGGTCTAGAGTGAAATGGAGCACTGACCTATGACCCCATAATTCAGGTCCCTGTCATGAAGCTCGTTAAACAAGGAGGCTCAATGTGAGGGCACCCCCACAAAGAAACAGAAATCTCAGCCAGGGCCTGCCTGGTGGTTATGGAATCAATCAAAACACGAAGAACAACCACTCCCCAGGACCAGCTGGGCTTTGAACCACAGCCAGCCAATAACTTCCCTTCTTCGCGTCTGCCCCTGGACCACGAGTCCTTCCCTGTGGGAGGGGCGCTCCTAACCACTTCTGGTTTGGTGCTCCCTGATTAGAATCAGTTTTGCTCAAATAAACTGTGGAAGTGTGTAACGTGCCTCAGTTTATCTTTTACCACTGTCCCTCCCCCTCCTGCGGTCCTCCTGAGTGTTGAACTGGCAGGTGCCTCAGGGGGAGTCTGTGAATGTGGTTCAGTTTCAGCTGGCCCTGGCCTGGTTTATTCCAAATGAGAGAAACGGGAGAGCAACTATGCGTGGACTGCTAATGAGCTAGCTGCCTTCTCGTGGCGACCAAGGCTGGGGAAAATAAGTAAATAAGTAAAAACAGCACCCAATTATCTACAAGAATGCAGGCTGAACCAGGAGCCAGGAGCCTGCCTGCGTGATCCGCCTTCCACCAAGCAAACAGAACCATCGCCACGACGCACCTATGGTTTCTCACGGGCTGCGTGGTCTCCTGACATTCCCCAGCGTGCCGAGTTCTCGATCCCAGGGGATGGATCTCAAGAGGTGGCTTTCTATCAGGGGCTCTTGCTCCAGCCCTCGTTCAGCATGTTAAATATCACTCTTAAAAACGGATGCCATGCCCTGGCTGGTTTGGCTCCGTGGATAGAGCGTCAGCCTGCGGACTGAAGGGTCCCAGGTCCAATTCCAGTCAAGGGCACATGCCTGGGTTGCAGGCTCAATCCCCAGGGCGGGGGCGTGCAGGAGGTAGCCAATCAATGATTCTCTCTCATCATTGTTGTTTCTCTCTCTCTCCCTCTCCCTTCCTCTCTGAAATCAATAAAAATATATATATATTTTTAAACAAATATGGATGCCAGCCCAGACGGTGTGGCTCAGTGGTTGAGCATCAACCTATGAACCAGGAGATCACGGTTCAATTCCTGGTCAGGGCACATGCCCTGATTTGGGACTCAATCCCCAAGAAGGAGCATGCAGGAGGCAGCCAATCAATGATTCTCTCTCATCATTGATCTTTCTATCTCTCTCCCTCTCATCACTGACCTATCTATCCCTCTCCCTTTCTTTCTGAAATCAATAAAAATGTACATTTTTTTAAAACGGATGCCTGCTTATCAAAGGAGAAAACCATCCCAGACCCAATTTCTATTGTGCCTGCCATCAGCTGAGGGGGAGCAGAGTTCGTCACCCCAACGCGTGCCTCTTTAGGACATGCAATATTTTAACCTGGTTATTTTTAAGGAACAGAAGATGCAGAAAGAACTCCTGACCTTCCCCCTAATATTTACACCTAGGCCCTGTCCAGGGAGGCAGCTACGTCACAGTAACCACAGTCACTAAGAACTAAGGGTCATAGACAGAGGAACCCGGCGAGGCCCTGTGGTTACTGAGGGCCCAGCAAACACTCAGTTACCAAACACTGGCTTTCCCAGGCCCAGGTGAGTGGCCCTCCTGCCCTTTGAAGTCTCAAACCACAACCTTCCCCCTTCCTCTCCAGCTATGAATGGCGTATAAACCTCCTCGGCCTGACTTGTCCTTGGGCTCCACATTCTTACGGGCCCCCATACGTACATCCACAAGAAATTTGGGACATTCTCTCCTACTCATCTGTCTCATGCTAATTTGTTAGCCCAGCCCGAGCTTAGAAAGGCAGGAGGAAAATTATTGTCTCCTCCCCACACGGCTAAGACTTTACAGATTCGGTCAAGAGGCACCCAGAACACGCCTCTCTTTCCAGCATCCGCGGGCTCCAGCTCTCTGGAGAACGTCCTTATGATATTAACAGAAACAACATATTAAACTTGTCATCTCTCCATCCTGAGAGACAAACACTGGCTTCCCAGGAGCAGTGGCTTCTACTCAGAGCTGTGAAAATATCAAGGAAGCTTGTAGAACCCCCTCTTCTGAAGGCCAGGCAGATGCCTCTGGGTTTGACTAAAAGAGGGGGCCGCTGTCATCTGTTAGCCCTAGATCAGTAGAGATAAAAATGTCATTGCAAACCCAACAAACACCCACAAAATAAAACCAAACCCCTCTTTCAAGGGGTCAAGCGCCTGTGTGTCAGGTCAGCCCAGAGCTGACCTCAAGTGCCCCCACAATGTGGCCCACGAACTGAGGTGGGGGCTCGCCCAACACAGAGCTAATGAAAAATGTGGGCGGTCTAATCGGAAAGACCCGGACCGAAGACGCGCAATGTTCTCCGGCTCTGGGACAGCTGGCCCGCTGCCCGGCACCGTCCCCTCGCCAAGCACATGGCTCCACGGGGTTCCAGGAGCCTCCAAGGAAACAATAGGTGGTTTCGCGCCCCCGGGGAGGAAGCGTGTTATCTGTGTACACCTGGTCTCTCCAGTGGGGTCCACAAGCCATTGAGAAAATTACACGCTGGCTACCGACGAGGCGGGAGGGACACGTGGAGCGGCCGCGGGAGGAAAGGCCTTCCTTCTCTGAGTTAAAGACTGACACGGAAAGAAAGCCCGAGCTGACCCTCCCGGAGGATCGATGTTTCGGCAGAAAGCGCCATAAGAACGTAACTACTAAACTCTGAAGCTTCCTTAAAAGTCAATGTCCCCCACAACCAGGGACAGCACACGTCCCGTCCGCTCCCCGGGAACGCTCTGCCTGGACACGCATGGGGGCCCGCGTGCGGCCCGCGCTCACCGGCCGCGGCCTCCAGCTTGCGCTTGTGCGGCGGGTCCTCGAGGATCCGGTTGAGGTCCCCGCGGTGCTCCAGGTCCACGGGCTTCTCCCACACGGACAGCTGCATCGTGGGGTTGAAGAAGAAAACCCGGTCGTCGCCCGTCCAGACCACGCACCTGTTCCAATGGAAAAACCCACCTGAGTTACAGACATTCACGGAGGACACGGTGGGTCAGTGGGTCCCACCCCACGTGCTCCCAGGGGTCTGGTTTCCAAAGAAAAGAGACCACCTCACCTCCGGCCAGAGCACGTCCAGGGAGCCTGGCTGTCCCAAGGGCCTCCATGGAGGCCACCAGCCCGACCTCCAAGGTCCTCCCTGCCACCTGCCCTCCCCCTGAAGAACTGGAGGTGCTAAGACACCAGGAAGCATGGCTTTCAGAAAGCCCCCCCCCCCCAACCGTGAGATCCCGACATTCCTTACCAGGGGGACACACGCATTTTCCCACTGAGCTCCTGGGGGATTTTCCCTGTTGGTGCCAGTCAACTTAGGAAAAGTCCATTTCACTAAGAAAGGGGCTCGGGCCTTGGCTCTCATGTTCAGTGGCCAGAGATCAGCCCGCACACCAAAGGATCTCAGGTTCGCTTTCCGGTCAAGGACACGAACCTGCGTTGTGGGTGTGCTCCCTGCCCCCTAGTCAGGGTGCATATGGGAGGCAACCAGCCGATGCGTCTCTCACATGGATGTTTCTCTCCCCCTTTCTCCCTCCCTCCACTCTCTCTGAAAAGCAGTGGGGAAAAAAATGTCCTCTGATGAGGATTAAGAAAACGATAATAAAAAGTTTTTTTAAAAGGAAGAAGCGTTACAGTTGGGGATTTATCTGGCCCCACTCTCTCCCGATCCTAGACTGTCTCTTGTATGTTTGCTGCATCGGGGATGCACCACCTCTGAGCCCAGAGACGCTGGGTCCAGAGACGCTCCCTGGACACCCTGGCTGGGGGGGACTCCAAAAAGGGGGATTCCCTACCTTCCACCACCGAGCTTCTAAGCAAGGGAAACACGCAGTGAATCAGGGGCTTACTAGGGGATTGTTCCCGGGGGAGCGGAGTGACAGTGAACTCGGTACATTTCTATCCGGGCACAGAGAGCCCGGCTCCGGGCCAGCAGGACGCGGTGCGAATGGGCCAGATTGCTGGTGGCGGGCAATGACAGCAGCAGCTTCCCTTGAAGACACAGACCATCGACTCGTCACAGCTGGTTCCCACTAGACCGAGCCCGCTGTACCATGCGAAGTTAATTTTATGTATCGTTTTAAGTAATACGTGCATGTTCCCCTCCCTTAATCACAGCGTAATTCCTGGATGACAGCCAGGCTCCCTCTTCTCTGTTCCCACGCCCAGAGGCTCTGGGCCCTGCACCAAGTTTAAGTCCGGTACGGAGCACCCACATGTAGCAGCCCTAACACGTAAAATCCGGATGTCGCCATCGAACACGGAGCTGCTGCTTCGTGGGGAGCAGGATTCGCACGGTCACCTTCAGGTAGCAAAGCCCAGCATGCGCAGGCTCCACGGGTGGGGGACATGTCGGCTTCTCTCCCAGCTCCCACCTCAGCCCCGGAGGGAGGGGCAGCATAACTGGTCCCTGCCCACCTGCACAAAGACGCGCTGGGTCCCTCTCACTCTCCGTGTTTCACCCTGTGCGTCCAGTCCCAGGAGAAGTGTCCTTCGCAGGCCAGAGCCTGGTGTTCACGGGGTCACATCCCAGGGCTGAGTCTCAGAATTGAGAGGCAGTGTCCGTATGCCCTTTGCTGTCTTTTCTCCTCTCCTCATTCTACCCCTTACCCCTTTGTCTCAGGGAGGGGCTGACCTGGCAGCATGGTTGAACAGTCCTGGCTGATCCCCAGGGCAGGTGGGTGAGGGGGCCATGGGATCTGCAGACACAAAGATTCAGGGAGGGGAGAGTAGAACCTCCATCCCACCTTCCTTCCTGTGATGTCCTGGTTTATAATGAAACTAGAGGCCCAGTGCACGAAATTCATCCACGGGTAGGGCCCCTAGCAGCTGCCAGCTGCCGGCTGGGGGTGGGTGTGGGGCTCCCTTCCCCCAGCTGCCTGCCACCGCTGCCGCCCTCTGGTCGAATTCCTGGTCAAACTCCTGTTTGAACACCTGGTTGAGGGGACAATTTGCATATTAGGCTTTTATTATATTATAGGATGGATGTACTTGATCTTTGTCCTGTTTCTGGCACAGAGCTCCCCAGACCCTCGGGAAGGGAGCAGGCGTGGCGAAGGTGAAATGGTGTGTGGTTATTCTCACCACAGGCGGCGTGGGACAGTGCCTGAAGATGGGCTGGGTGGCGACCAGGGAACCACCCTGTAATGAGAGGGTTGGAACCACAGACCTCTGGGGAGGGGACAGGATGGAGATCGGGTCCCATCACCCCTGGCCGATGATGTCATCCATCACACCCGTGTAATGAACCTGCCATAGAAGCCCAAAAGACAGGGTTCGGAGAGTGTCTGGGTTGGGGAGCATACGGGTTTGGGGGAGTGGCTCTCTCAGGGAGCCCGGGAGCTCTGTGCCCCTTCCCAGACCTCGCCCTGCACCCCTCTCCATCTGCTGGTCCTGAGTTACATCCTTTCATAATGAACTATGAGTAAACCGTCTCTGAGTTCGTGAAACATATGTCCCCATATGTTCATATCTAAATAACGAACAAATTAATTCCAGCAAATTAATCAAACCCAAGGAGGGGGCTGTTGGATCCACCGCCGATGGGTCAGAAGCCCAGGTGACAACCTGGACTTGTCTCCAGGGAGACAGTGTCCGACCGGGTTAAACTGGCCACCCAGCCGGCGTGGAAGAACCGCTCTGCGTGTAAACCCGCTCATGCCGTGTCAGGAGTGACGTGTTGCAGGGGAGTCTCGAGCGCGGAGGAGACACGCAGGGGTGTCTTTCTCCCCTCCCCAGCCCATCCTCCAACCCCACCATCCCCAGCTCCAGCGCCCGCCCGCCGACAGCGTTTCCTTAGTGGAGCACAGCCGAGGCCCAGAGGTTCTGCTGGCCCCTCGGGAGCAGGGCGAGGCGGGCACAGTGAGGGGTGCCAGGCAGCTCTGAGCCGGGAAGCGCAGCCTCCGTGTGCTCACCGCTCAGCTCCAGGGCGGGCGGCTCGCATTTCTCCCAAAGGCTGGCCAGGCTGGTGCCACATGACCATCCAGGACAGCTGAGAGCAATGCCTGGGCACCTTTCAACGTGCTGTTTTCCCCCGGGGGGACCTCCTCCAGCCCCTCCTTCTGCGGGAAGTGTGCCACGCTGAGGGGCAGATGGAGACACGGGTGGCAGCCTGACCCGATGCCGCCCAGACAGTCCTCACGTCCCCACCCGCAAGGCAGCGCAGCTGATGGCACAGAGACTCAACCAGACCTGGGCCGTGTCTGTGCGCCCAACCACCATCACTTCAACTCCGCTGCCTCTTGCAAGACTGTATCTACCCATCTCTGTGGCTGCACAGAAACATATGTCCCGTATTTAAATAACGAGCAGCGGAAAACGCCAGGGCCCGCAGCTGCTGGCGGCTCCGCTCTGTGGAGAAATGCGAAACCCTCAGGCGGCGTGGGCTCAACACCAGAACGACGCCCGGGACCCAGCCTGCCCCCACAGCACAGCTTTCCGGGGCTCCATCTGACGGTGGCGAGGGCTTCCAGAAGAGTCCGCCCTCAGAGAGATTCAAAGTGCACCTCCTTCGCCGTGGCATCCATCAGAGCCCCGGCTCATCGCACCCCAGGGGCGGCCAATCTCGGGGGGATCCCCACTGCAGGCTTCCCCGCCCACCTGCCCACACAGGTGCGGCCCATGGCTGTCTCTGGGTTCGAGCGAGGCTGCCTGGAGACTAACAAGAATAAGCCAAGAGCAGGGCTGGAAGGACACAGCCCACAGGGTTCCCCGGGACACCCCGCTGACGGCGCAGACGGCACCTAGCACCCGCCCAGACAGCACCTAGCACCCACCGTGGCTGTGATGTCCGCCCTCTCAGTGCGCCACCCCCTCTCCTAAACCCCCCCCCCCAACACACACACACAGCCCCCACAACCGCATCCTGCTCTCTAAGCTCCGGTTCTAAAACTGTTTTTTCCTGGAATAACCTTTTCATTCTGCCTCCAAATCACTCCATGCTGAAAGGGCATTTAAGAACCCAACGCTGCTCGCTCCCAAAGGTATTTGCAGTGTGACTCCTTGGAGGAGTCCTCACCTTTTTCTGTGTGTTTAGCAATTTTACTTTCACTGGTGTCACTATGAACTGCCACCTGCTACTCTTCCTGGGCACAGGGAATCCTCTGGAGCCGGAGGCACGCACGCGCCTTTTCTGCAGACGCCGGGCTCGCTGACGCACACGCACCGGCATTCTTATTTTAACACATGTTCCAGATGCCCTGCGCGGAACCGCATCACGTAAACGCCGCTTTCTCCCCTGCAGGATGTGAGCGCGTGCAGAACTGTACCTGCCATGAGCTGCCAATTAACGTTTAAGCCCCGTCTCACCTGAGGAGCACGCATCCCTCTCTGGTGACAAGGCAAGGCTCTAGTCAGCCGTGGGCAAACTACAGCCCGCGGGCCGGATCCAGACCGTTTGAAATGAAAACTAAAGAAAAAAAAGACCGTCCCCTTTTAGGTAATGATGTTTACTTTGAATTTATATTAGTTCACACAAACACTCCATCCATGCTTTTGTTCCGGCCCTCCGGTCCAGTTTAAGAACCCATTGTGGCCCTCGAGTCAAAAAGTTTGCCCACCCCTGCTCTAGCTCCTTGCTCTCGGGGCTCAGGGCCTCTTACCAGGGGGAGCCGGGCACCGGAGTGGAGGCCACGGGTCTGCTGCCTTTGGCCGCGCTGTCCTCTCCTGTCACGAGGATTGGTGGAGGCTCCTTTCAGCAGAAAGAGAAGGAAAGCGCCTTTTATGCTTTTATTTAAACACTTGTCTTCAATGACAGGCAACCAAGTAAAGAATAACAAGTCTCCTGCAGACAGACCTGCCTACAGTGCCCGTGAGATAATGACCTGCTCTGAACAGCACAGCCAAAGGGACCAGGCAATTAGGCTGAGAAGATGGAATTCGCGGCACAGCAGAGCGTGGGGAGTAACTCAGACACAGGCACCCTTAATTATCCCAAAGGAGCCACACCGTCTGCTTTCACAGGCATGAGACGGGCAGAGCAGCCAGAGGTGGCTCCCGGGTGCCGTAAGTTCTTGGCGGCAGACAAGCCTGCTGGATTCATCTCCGGAAACAGGGTGACCCAGCGGCTGGAGTCACTGTGACACCAAAACACTACAGTCGGGGGCAGAGAAACCGAAAGCTGCGAGAGGCCCTGGTGCAGCTGGGGCTGGCCCGTCCCCGTCCCTTGACAGCAGGAGGGAGCGATGAGCCACGACCTTCCAGAGGCTGGTTGCGCCCTTGACCGTCCCCCCTCCTGGAGCTCCCAGCTGGGGCCAGAGTTCAAGAGGCAGTGCTATGTGCAGGTGGTTTGTACACAGCTGGGTTTGAAAAGCACCGTGTTTCTGTGTCTCTATTTATAAAATAAAGAAGAGGCCGTGAACTCCTCGAAGAAAATGGAGATTTATTTTCCCTAAACTTAAAAAGAAAAAGAAGCCAGCCGGCGTGGCTTAGTGGATGAGCGTGAACCTAGGAACCAGGAGGTCACGGTGAGAGTCCTGGTCAGGGCACAGGCCTGGTCGAGGGCTGGACCCCCAGTGGGGGGCGTGCAGGAGAAGCAACTAATGATTCTCTCTCATCATTGATGTTTCTCTCCCTCTCCCTTCCTCTCTGAAACCAACAAAAATATATTTTTAAAAAGAAAAAGGAAACCCCACGTGTCTGTAAGGTGAGATAAATCTCCAACACATACACCGACCGTGCTCTGTCCAACGTGGACGACAGAGGGAGGCTGCGGCCTGTGGACACCGTCCACCCGTGAGTTGAGGACCGAGAGGGCTAATGTCATCGGGACCAAATGTCCGAGAGGAAGGACGAGCAGCCCTGGGGTGGAAACGTTCACCCGGGAGCGTCCCTGTGTGGTCTCCGGACGGGCACACCGGGCGAGGTGTCTGCTAACGGACAGACGAGTCAACCCAGGAAGGAGGGGTCATCCATTCGCACGCACTCGCGCCTCGGTGTTGTCCTGGGTCTCCCCACACCCCTCCGTTCTTTGCAACAAGTAACTACCCTACGGAAATGACTTGTAAGTATATGGTTGCCCCTCGGTTTGTAAGCTTCAGAGCGATCTCTCTTGGAACTTTGGGGTAGAAGAAACTGCCTTTGCTTCCTGTGATCGAATGAGGCCGAGAAGAATAATTCACAGGACAGGGAATATTCTGAAAGGGTTGCATTGAAAAATACATTAAGACCGGAGTTTATATTACTAATCCAATTAGAAAAACGAGGGGAAAGTTTCATTATGGGGCTAATTGAACAGGCGCAACCCAATGAGGGGCTGCGGAGTAGTAGATGATCCTAATTACTCGGGGAAGGACGGTGGGCCGTGATTTGTGAGGGGCGGACACTTAAATTCGGCGGCGCTGGGACTGGGAGCCGCTAATTGCCGAGGCCCTCGCTCGTCCCGAGGCCCGCGCAGGTGATAGCTTCCTGTTGGTGATAAAAAATGGCTAATCAAGGCATAACGCTCCCCTTCCACGCTGAGGTAATAAAAGTGAATTAGACACGCAGAGCAAAGTGATAAAGAAAGTAGTTAGGGCCCTAGAAAGACTGATTAATAAATGTCACCCTGGTACGGCTCAGCTCTCTCAGAGCGAAACCCTCCACCGAGGAACAAAACGTTCATTTGCACTAACATCCGGGATCCGTTCACACCAGTTGCTGGGCACTGAGATAGGCAGGAGGCCGTGGACACCGCAGTGGTGCCTGGACTGCCGTGCTGGCAGGAAAACCAGGGAACGGGGCCGTCACAGGCCCGAGGCAGAGACTGCCGAGCAAAGCCGAGTGAGAGGGAGTGTGAACGATGCGCCGGGCGGACCAGGGGCCTCGGCCCATCTGACAGATCCGGACAAAATAAGCCCCAACTGTGATTTTCCAATGCAGCCGCGACAGCGGGTCTCTGGGGTTCTTCACGTGACAGCAACGTGCCCCATGCATTCATGGTTGGTCTTTAAAATGCCTTTGGCAATTGGGCACAGAGAAGGTCTAAGACCAGAACGTGTTAAAAAACAAATGTGTGTTGGGTTTTCTTGAAAAGTCACTGCCAAGCACCGACACGCCTTGCCCGAGGGGTGCCTGCCGCAGCCTGGCTGCTCTGCGTGCACAAGCTTCCCCGTGAAATGTGGGGACAAGGACACGGGAGCGTGGGTCACACCCAGCGAGCTCTGCTCTCCCCAGCCTCTCCCACGCCATATCCTTCCCGGGGCGTCCGCTGCAATTTCTGGGTGTAACCGTCCTGCACAGGGGCTGGCCAAGCATCTGTGCGCATCCCCACGTGGGAAAGCCGGTGGGAAGGGTGTGCAGCCCAGACCGCCCCTCCCCCACCCCCGCCAGGATTTCACGTCCCAAGACCGACCTTGTGTCCTTCGTCCCTGGCCGGGCTCTTCCTCTCCGCGCGCAGCATCAGGGCAGGAGGGCGGGGCGTGCGGACCCGGTCCCTGCTTTTCTCTGCTGGACCAAAACAGTCGTCATTAGCATCCCCTTGGTCACGTCCATTTGGAGAAAACTAAACAAGGGCAACATGTGGCCTGGACGGTGGTCTCGTGGCAAGTCCCTCCAATGAGGCCCAGCTCCTCTGGTGACCCCGTCTGTGCCTGCTCGCAGCCCCACCCCCAACGCTGTCGGCCACACCTCACAACCAGGCCACGTGGGCTACGGGTGGAGGGGACACGGGCTCCCTGACAAGGACAGGAGGATGATGGGGACCAGGTTTCTTAGGCTTCCACGGCTCGTGGCCACCACTCCTGTCTGCTCATCGCTAACGTGGCCACTGGCTTCGCCATGGACCAGACAACCCTGCACTTCAAAGAGTAGTTGTTTGGGAGACAGAAGGAGAAACGTCAAAAAACCTGGATTCTGAACATAAAACAATTTAGGTTTCACCTTGTTCTAAAACGTCTACAGAGACCTTAAACGTTTGTGAGTGGGAGAGAGGTGCCATGAGCAACGCCGGGATTAACCCCTGTTCATACCAAGAATTAGGAGAGGAGCCCAAACCATCAACCTCCCACCCACCTCACAGCCACAGCCACCGAGGAGCCCTGAGGCGCCTCATGGCCCTGCAGGCCAGGACCCTGTGGAAGCCTCTGTCCAGCCCAGAAAGGTCCAGGGAGGGCCCGGCGGGAGGGACGACATGAAGACAGTGGCACCCCTTTACACACGTGTGTTCCTCTGCAAATGCACACGCACACACGGAAGTGGTGGGAAGTGGCCTCGAGGTCCCCTCCAACTCAGGCATCTGCACCTGGAGGGCAGAGGTGGGGGGGAGGGCCAAAGAGCCCATCCCACCTGCACCCCATTTTCCTCAAGACACGGCCACTCTGGCCTCCTCTGACCCCCATTCTGGGGAGGCGGTTTGCAGGAAGGGACCACGTAGGCTGGACCCCACGTGGGGCCCGAGCCTCATGCCTCTGGAGGCGTCTGTACCGGGAACCCTCGTGGCTGCAGGCAGCGCAGGGGGGACAGCCCTGGGCCTGGACCGATGTCCGGTCCCCACGGGGCTGCTGCCTCTGGAAAGGCCGAAGCACACAGAGCCGACGGGCCCCCGCGTCTGACACGTGATAGATGGGTGGACAGCAACGTTACAACCACAGCGAGGCTTGCTGCCCACTAGCTGTCACTCTGAAGACCCCGTGGGCTCTCCCCAGCAGCCAGCTGGCGGCTCAGGCTGTTAAGGGGCCCGGAGCTCAGGCTGGTGGCAAACAGACCATGTCCTCACACAGAGGCGGCACCGGCCCCAGAATCCTGATCAGCTGTGGCCACAACCAAGAGGCACGCCTCGGGGCCCGGCCATGCCAAATAACGGTCTGATCACGACTGGCCTTGGGGAAGGCGGACAGGGAAGGTTGCCTGGAAGTCTGGGAGGGGTTGGGGGGAGGGGGAACCGGGTCCACATGGGAAATCTCTACGTAGATCACCTGTCGAGTATGTATTGCCTGCTCACGGGGAGCCAGAACAGCCTGGGGTGTTTGTGGGGAGCGATCAGCTTCTTCCCTCAAAACGCATCAGGACCTGGCAAGGTTGACCCAAGGGCAGGAAAGGAGCCCTTGGGGGCGGGGGTGACAGTGGCAGGACCTTATCCCCTTGAAAAGTGGGGACAGAAAAGCCGGGCTCCTTCTCTGGGGCAAGACGTAGCTTTGCGCTCTCTCGCGGCTCAGCAATTCATCGACCTCGTTCCCGTAAGAGAAGAATGCGGCGGGCTTGCCCGCGTCTCGACTCCACGGCCAGCTCTCCAGCCGTCGCCTCTTGGTCAGGAGTCCAGGTCGAAGGCACCTGCTCTCTGAGAGTCTCAGAAATGAAGATGCAAAGGCACCTGTCATCCCCTGGGGTCAGGCCCCAGATCAAGGGCAGCGTGGACGCGACAGGAGGGGACGGGCCCGGAGTGGTTGTGTGCCCTGGCCGCGGCGAAGGAGACCCACGTCGAATAAAGCACTAGGATGTGTTTAAACGTTCAAAAAAATGGCTTTTTAAAAATGACTGAAACAAAGAACTATTGCAGACAAGTCGAAACGGTCTAACTTGTCAAAAAGATGCCCGGCCGGGGTGGCTCACAGGCTGTCACAGTTCGATTCCCAGTCAGAGCACGTGCCCAGGTTGCAGCTCCATCCCCAGGGTGGGGTGTGCAGGAGGCAGCCGGTCAGTGATGTTTCTCTCTCATCGCTGATGTTCCTATCTCTCCCTCTCTGAAATCAATAAATATATATATTTTTTTAAAAAAAGAAAAGAAAAGGAGACCTGAGAAATATATCAGCATCTCCTAATTCGAAGAGTGATTCTGAAATTCAACCTAATTTTAATTCAATAACATTGACATCTCCGGTCTCAGTTTCCTCATCTATGAAATAGTCTCCTGAGTCCCTTCCCGTTCTGGGATTCCAGAAGTCCACAGGACACCGGGAACTGCCTGGCGTACACCCCAAAGCAACACAAGACGAACACGGTGGCCTCGGAGGGCCGTCGAGAACACGCTTCCTCTAGATCCTGCTGGGGAAGGAGGCTCATTCCCAACTCAAGGACACGGAGTAGCCCAAGGAGTAGGCAGGAGAGAGGATTCACTGTTCCTGTTCTAAAAAGCTAAGCGACCTCTGACGGACTGTCCCGTTGGAACCAACCTTCTCCGAAGAATTTGTGGGAAGCGACAGGCCTGCGTCAGCCTTCCCCAGTGTCAGCGAGATCCCCTTAGACCGAGAGGATCCCCGGCCCACACATGCCCTGGAGGTGCCGTAGCTCGGAGGGGGCAGTGGGATGAGGAGTTCCTGGTTGTCACAGACCACTGGCCCTTCCGGGAAGGGTTTATGAAGAAAATCCACGGCGACATCTGTGCACCTGGCCTCAGCCCGCAGCCAAAGGAAGGCCCCCTCGGATGAGCTCGGCAAACAGGTCATTGTCGGGGACCCGTGCTGGGGGCAGATGACTCTCGGTGACCTCCATCCTTGGAGAGCCCGGGAGGGATGTGGGGGAGGCAGGGGACAAGCCTGGAGCCACTGGGGCCCATTTCCTGTCGGCCACAATCCAGGGGCCCCATTTCTGTGTGTATATGTTCTCACCTCCAAGAACACATAACAAACACCCACCTACAGAGACGCCGTAAGGCAGTGGTTCTCAGCCTTCTGGCCCTTTAAATACAGTTCCTCATGTGGTGACCCAACCATAACATTATTTTCGTTGCTACTGCATAACTGTCATGTTGCTACTGTTATGAATCGTCATGTAAATATCTGATCTGCAGGATGGTCTTAGGCGACCCCTGTGAAAGGGTCGTTCGACCGCCAAAGGGGTCGCGACCCACAGGTTGAGAACCCCTGCCATAAGGAGAAGAATGGGAGGCATTTTAGTCCAGCGTCTGCCCATAAGCGCCACCTGAAAATCATTTCTGCAGCCAGCAGGGCAACCTCCTCGCTCACACAAAAGGAAAACAGACGAGGTGCGCTGTGTTCCAGGTGACAAGCGAGCCTCCAGGGAGGGCTATGATTATTTGTCCATTTAAGCAGCACTGGGCTCCTTTGAGAATCGTGATAATAAGGGAAAAATGCAATTTATGTTGGAGATAATAGAGATGACACACTCAGGCCCACTGTCTGCGGCTCTCAATGAGGCTTGAAGAATGCGTTGATTCTCAGAGCCTGCCTGCCCCGCAAGAGCGGAAACACTGAGGGGACGGGGTCCTGGGGAAAGCGGCCGGAGCCCGGCCTTCACGCTGCCCGAGGGGGAAATCGCACAAGCTGCTGGCCCAGGTGCCAACGGAGGCGAGAGAGACACAGCCAGCCCCAGAGAAGCCTGGGGGTCCTGGGGGCTGGGATTGACAGGGTGCTAGGGGGGGCCTGGCTGCAGCTCAGTGAGGGGAGCCCAGCACAGAGCCCAGGCCCCCTGTCCTTGGACATGGTCACTGTCCAGTCCAGCTGGGAGCACAGCTAAGGGGCTGAGAGGAGGGGTCCTGGGGTTCTGGGGGCACACACCGGGCCCTGCTGCCGGCTGTGATGGAAGCAGGCACCAGGGGCTCAGGGACCCTCCATCTGCACCTGCCTCCCGCACACGCGCACAAAGACAAGACCATTATTATGATGATGGGTTTGTAGCGATTACAGGCGATAGATAAATGGGTTCCTCTAAATCCACTGTTTAGTTAGAACGGAAAAGAAGCTGACGCATGAATGCAAAACACAAACAAGCAAAATGTCAGCATTGCGACTTTTTTAAAGGTGACATAAAAAATAAGTCGTCTGTTATAGTAAAAACCTCTGCATACCAGGCTGCCTCGAGACGGGAACAGAAACTGCCCCAAAGTGTATGGTTCCCTGATCGGGGGTCCGCCTCCCTCCTCTGCCACCAACAGCACGTTCTTGTCTCCTGCTCTGCGGGCACGAACCCCTCCCGGGCGTGCAGGGGGCGGGGGAGTGCTGTGCCTGGTCTGCCACGGCCACAGAGGTGGCCGCCCCGCAGCAGGGACAGAGTTCCCGGGGACGCCAGCCTGCACGCCTCCTGTCCCCGCGGGAGTCTGACCGTGCTCTCCCACTGCCGCTTCGCTGGGTCTTGAACAAGGTCTGTCTCCACTATTTTTCCTTCTAGCAATAGACCTGGTGCGCTGCCTTTTATCTCCCAGCCTCTTCAGTGAGACAGTTATGAAGTCTCACCCCCAGGCTTTTCATCTTCCCCGAGTTCTCCTCGGAGCTTTAACAAACCTCTGCCTCCACAGGGGCCTAGAGTTGTTGGAGGGGAAACAGCAAAGCTCGAGGCCCCAAGGCCCCTGCCCCAGCGGGTGCAGACCCCGGCGGGCGCAGACCCCGGTGGGCGCAGACCCCGGCGGGTGCAGACCCCGGCGGGTGCAGACCCCAGCAAGTGCAGACCCCGGCGGGTGCAGACCCCGGCGGGTGCAGATCCCGGCGGGTGCAGACCCCAGCGGGTGCAGACCCCGGCGGGCGCAGACCCCAGCAAGTGCAGACCCCGGC